GGTGGTGCCCAGTACACATCCCCATGGCTGCTACCACTTTCCTGTGCTACCTGCTGACTGGAGCAGCACAGAAGAGGCAGGAGGAGTAGCTGCTGGAGGCAGTAAGAAGCCAAGCAGTACCCAGGTGGCTGCAGCTGCACAATGAACAACCCTCCTGGGAAGCCATGCGCCCTGGCCAGGGCCAGGAGTGGGTGCAGGTGGGAGCATGGTGTGGGCTCCCCCAGGTAGGAGCAGGTGGGGCTCAACACTATGCAGAGTTCTCCAGGGCCAGCCATGAGATGGACTGCACCTGCCCTGCACTGCCTGGGCAAACTGCTGCATGCACCCCCTGTTCCCCATCCCTCCCGTCTCCCCTGGCCAGCTCCTGGGATCTGGCATGCAGGCAGCCCCTCCACACATGCATACACTTCCCATACACAACATACAAGGATAAGACTTTATTTTGAGCTATTATGCAATCATCTTTATATACACTACTCAAAAATGCATAACATCAGGACAAAAATTATTTTCTTAAATAAAATTAAAATGTGTTATAGTAGACATTTTGATTTGTTAAAATGATATCTTCTGAAAGATTTTGTGTGTGTGGCCCTTGACAGCTCAACAAAACTCATTAAGTGGCCCACCAGCTGAAATGCCTATCCCCATTTTAATTTTTCCCTCTTTCCCTTTAACTGTCCTTCTCCCCATCTATCCATGCACACACTCCTAAAGGAGAAAATTATCATGTGACACAAAACAGTTGTATTGTATACTTTACTTGGGAATGCTCCAATCACTGAAGTCAGTATTAAAATCTGAAATAAATTAAGCCCCAGAAAACTGCAGACGTTTGGTTCCCTGTGGACAGCTAGCACTGGGACACTATATGCCGCTTTTCCCAGGAACATCTGTGCCGTGTACCTTTTGATGCATGGCAGGTTACCATGGGTGAGGTAGGGTTGGTGCCCAACAACCTTACTAAGGCTCCTGGGGACCAGGGAAGCTGCAGCTGTGTCACTTCTGCAGCTTGGCACCTGGCAGGCTCTGGTTTTGAGTGGCATGCACTGTCCCTGTGTGTGCCATGCTGCTTTTTGTTCTGCATGGGTTTTTTTGGCCCCTGGATCTCCAGGGATAAAAAAAAAACAAAACCCCAACCCTGGGCTGCAAGGTAACAGCGTGGGAAATGCCTGAATGTGCCGTATGTGGTGCTACATGGCTGCACTTGTCTGGACATGGCCATGAAAGTCATGAGGACTGAATACCTGCTTCCTTTTCTGGTTTGGGGCCGTTGTGCTATACTATTACCTTTAAAGTAAGACTACTAAGGTAGCAGGGTTGTCTTCTTGCATAAAGTTGAAATGAAAGTTTTAGGGATGGGGATGGGGATTTACATCTACCAAAAAGGAAGTAGATCTCCACTTGCAACTAGAGCAACCTTTACAAGCTGTGGGCTGGAACAACCCCAACCTACTCTAATGCAGGATGGGTAGCTTCAGTATCACATCAGCAACCGGGGCTTTTCCTGCACTCACTGGGACCAGGTACCTGGGAGCTGTGCCAATTGCCACTGCTTTTTCCAGCTCCCCAACTGCATTGTGAGCACAGCTTCCAATCAATGTGGAGGTATGTTAGGACCAAATATCTGCAAACTATCAGTGCTGCTGCTTCCAATCAATGTGGAGGTATTCCAGGACCAAATATCTGCAAACTATCAGTGCTGCTGCTGCTTCCTTCCTTCTTACCGCATAACTCCCTCTCTACCCAGATGTGGTGCAGGCATGTGAAAGCTACCTGGCCCCAGTACAACTCCCCACCACCACATTTGCCACAGCTGTTGTAGAGAGGGACAGAGGGAAGAAGTGGCATGGGTGCAGTTTGCAGATACCTCATCCCAGTGCATCTCCCCATCAGTTGGAAGCTGCATTCACACTTCAGCCAAGGCATGCGCAGCTGACAGAAGCGGTAGCAGTGTGGCTGCAGCTCCCAGGTATCTGGCTGTGGTGTGGGTACAGGCAAAGCCCCCAGCTGCTCATGTGCCCCTTGAAATGACCCAGCCTGCATTGGACAGAATCTGGGAAAGCAGAGAAAAGCAGCAGCAGCATGGGCACAGCTAGAAGCTACCTGCCCCGTAGGCTATATGTTGCCAACCCCTGATCAAGAGTATAAATAACAAGCGTTATAGAGCTCATATGCCTGGCGTAGTCAAGGTGCTTGCAATTATAGCCGCGTTGCACTGCCAGTTGTAACGGGTTCTTCTGATCCTTGTTCCTTAAGGGTGAGATGTTCTTTAGGAAAGCTCTGTTTCTCTCTTCTGCATCTGGTACAGTCAAGTATATAAATACTTCTCATTAAGAAAATTCCAGCAATTACTGCAAAATAGCAGCCATACACTAGGAACTGGGGAGAAAATGGAAAGAATTAATAACACTTATTCTTCACTTCACTTTCCTAGGCCTTGGAAGGAGGGCAACTGAAGAAGGGTTTGCTGGTGTGTCATTCTAGGGTGGGGACAGTTCAAGAATTCTCCTGCCTGTTTATCTCCTTTTACATGAGAAGGAGGGGAGTGAAATCACCCTGAGCTCTCAGGTTGTTTCATAGTTTCATAGTTTGTAGAGTCGGAAGGGACCTGAGCAGATCCTCAAGTCTGACCCCCTGCCATGGCAGGAAAGAATGCTGGGGTCAAATGACCCCGGACTGGTGATTTATCTAGGCTCCTTTTGAAGACCCCCAGGGTAGGAGTGAGGACCACTTCCCTTGGAAGTTGGTGCCAGATCCTAGCCACTCTGACTGTGAAGTAGTGCCTCCTGATGTCTAGCCTGAACCTACTCTCAATCAACTTATGGCCATTATTCCTTGGTACTTCCAGTAGCGCTCAGAAGAACAAGAAATCTCCCATTGCCTGCTGGTCCCCCATGG